AAAAAAAAAAAAAAAAAGTAATATTAAAAGAAGAAAAAATTTGTCTTTGGTAATAGCTGGAACAAGTTGTTGCAAAAATAATTTAAGGCCAAATGAAAATTATATACTTTCTGGATACATGATCCAAGCTGGCAGTTTTTGTAAATTATCACTATCATTATGTGGCATTCCTGACAGTGTAGATGCCTTTAAACTCACCACACTAGTCCCACCTCACATCCCATATTTCCACAAACTCACCCCGATAGAGACAAGAACCTCCCAACTTGTCTTGACACTCACCACAATAGCCACCCAACTTGTCTTCATACTCACCCCAATAGCCACAAAACATGTCTTTAAATCAAACTCTCCCTAATAGAGACAACGGCTCCTAACTAGTCTTTGAACTAAGCCCAATAGCCACCCAACTAGTCTTTGAACTCAGCCCAATAGCCACCCAACTTGTCTATGAACTCAGCCCAATAGCCACCCAACTTGTCTATGAACTCAGCCCAATAGCCACCCAACTTGTCTTTGAACTCAGCCCAATAGCCACCCAACATCTTTGAACTCAGCCCAATAGCCACCCAACTTGTCTTTTAACTCAGCCCAATAGCCACCCAACTAGTCCTTGAACTCACATAAATAGCCACCCAACTAGTCTTTGAACTTACCCAAATAGCCACCCAACTAGTCTTTGAACTCAACCAAAATAGCCACCCAACTAGTCTTTGAACTCACATAAATAGCCACCCAACTAGTCTTTGAACTCACCCCAATAGCCACCCAGCTTGTCTTTGAACTCACCCTAATAGCCACCCAAATAAGCAACCCTTCCACTACCCACACCATTTAAAAAAAAAATACATAAAATTTTGATTGATAAATCAAGGCAAGACATTTCAGGTAATGCTTCGAGCGAATAGTTGCCCATCCAAGTGACACACCAACATTTAGAAAAATTAACAAGTTGTAATGCTTTTATGGCAGAAGGACATTGAAAAACAAAAAGACTTTTGATTCCAAATGCTATTCACCCAACACTGGGCCTGAAAGTAATGCTTATGTCTCTCCATCAGGAACAAGAAATAGAGACAAACAGTAAAGGACCCTTCTCAGGGAACTGACTCATCAGGCAAACGGTAAAAGCAGCAAACATAAATAGCAATAATTCAGGTGCCACCTCCACCATGACAGCAGCCAATTTGTCAAACCGCTCATTGCCTTGCACACACGAATATCCTAGACAAAAAATCTATGATAAGTTCCTGATCTGAGTCTTATCAATGTAAGACTCTCTCTTATCAATGTAAGACTCTCTCTTATCAATGTAAGACTCTCTCTTATCAATGTAAGACTCTCTCTTATCAATGTAAGACTCTCTCTTATCAATGTAAGACTCTCTCTTATCAATGTAAGACTCTCTCTTATCAATGTAAGACTCTCTCTTATCAATGTAAGACTCTCTCTTATCAATGTAAGACTCTCTCTTATCAATGTAAGACTCTCTATGCAGGATACCAGCGCCCTGAAGCATGCTCTGTGATTCCGTAACAATTACAGCACACGGGGTTGAGCTGCTCTTAAGCCTTTGGAAAGCTGCCTCCACCTTCTTTCTGAGGACCAGGAAATACCCTGGAAGGTAAAGGTGGTTAGAATTATATTGCCCAGTGGTCTATATAAGAAGATGAGTCTGGCAGCATATGCCGTGGTGCACCAGACTCCCAGTGCATACATGTCTGGTGCACCACATGCCATTGCACCATATTTTCAGTGTACATATGCCCAGTGCACATATGTCTGATGCACCATATTTTCAGTGTACATATGCCCAGTGCACCATATTCCTAGCGCACATATGCCCGATGCACCATTTTTTCAGTGTACATATACCTGGTGCACAATATGATCAGGCCACTAAATGCACAGTGCACTATCTTCCCAGTGCATCAGATTTCTATTGTATATTTATGCCCAGTGTATCATATGCTTCACTACATTTCCAGTGTAATATGCCGGGTGCACCATATGGTCAGTGCACCATATGCCCGGTGCACCTATGCCTGATGTGCCAATGGCTGAGAAGGGTCCTGTAGTTAGTGTACTTATATATATATAACAAATATAAATAAAATGAAAAAAAATCACCATTATTAAATAACAAAAAAATGTAAAGTGACAACCCCAAACAGGCTGTGACGAACCCGAGCGGGTTCTGACAATAACGAGTGGGTCACAGCTTATCAAGTTAGTCTATACATGCATGATAGCAATTTCTAAATATATATTTATATTATATAATATAGATAGATATATAAACGGATCATCTGATAAAACTGTTCACACGGTAATAATGCACATTTATGGAGAGACATTATGTATATGATACTGCGGGATTCATTTCACAGGATTTCAAACGACTAGTGAGCTGGCATTGATACCAAAAGAATACATTTCAATTCAAATATGAAACAAAAACAAGAAACAACAAAGAAACGAATAAAAAAACGTATGAATGCTGATTGGTAACAGTGAGGCTCTCACAGCTGAGTGCTCAACATGCACAAAATATTTTTAACAACGTAGAGGTCAATGTCATCCACTTTTTCAGTACCAAGGAACTCGCTGGTCATCAACTCTCTGAGTACCAAGGAACTCGCTGTTCATCAACTCTTTCAGTACCAAAGAACTCGCTGTTCATCAACTCTTTCAGTACCAAGGAACTCGCTGTTCATCAACTCTTTCAGAACCAAGGAACATGCTGGTTATCAACTCTCTGAGTACCAAGGAACTCGCTGTTCATCAACTCTTTCAGTACCAAGGAACTCGCTGTTCATCAACTCTTTCAGTACCAAGGAACTCGCTGGTCATCAACTCTCTGAGTACCAAGGAACTCGCTGTTCATCAACTCTTTCAGTACCAAGGAACTCGCTGTTCATCAACTCTTTCAGTACCAAGGAACTCGCTGTTCATCAACTCTTTCAGTACCAAGGAACATGCTGGTCATCAACTCTTTCAGTACCAAGGAACTCGCTGGTCATCAACTCTCTGAGTACCAAGGAACATGCTGGTCATCAACTCTTTCAGTACCAAAGAACTCGCTGGTCATCAACTCTTTCAGCACCAAGGAACTCGCTGGTCATCAACTCTTTCAGCACCAAGGAACATGCTGGTCATCAACTCTTTCAGCACCAAGGAACTCGCTGGTCATCAACTCTTTCAGTACGAAGGAACTCGCTGGTCATCAACTCTTTCAGTACCAAAGAACTCGCTGTTCATCAACTTTCCGAGTACCAAGGAACTCACTGTGTGTTTACTGATTACAAGTCACGTGATATGCTTTTCCTAACTAACGCTGTCACCCATAGCAACGAAATTATATAAAAACAATTATGGAAGCATAAACCTATAGGAATTCCAGGAAGGGGGGGGGGGGGGGGGGGGGGGGGGGGGGGGGGGGGGGGGGGGGGGGGGGGGGGGGGGGGGGGAGGGGGGGGGGGGGGGGGGGGGGGGGGGGGGGGGGGGAAGGGGGGGGGGGGGGGGAAATAAACATTTTAAAGAGGTCATAAAAAAAGTTTAAAAAAAATGTATTCATCTACATTTTGAATTTCTCTTTTGTTGCTGTTGCTGTGTTGAAATATATCAACACATTCAAGTCCTATCTAATATTTTTTGCAGTTGTATCACAGTATATGTGTGCTGAATGCTGATAAAGGTGTTCTAGCTACAATATTGATTATGTCACTCAAAAAATGTGTTTTGTAGGAAGCGGAAAAGGCAAAACAAAACAATAACAATTCTTATAATTCTTGCCGTTTACAAAAATTTAATTCAAACTTCTTCAAACCCGACCACTCTATCATGAATGGCTGGTTTTCCCACGTGGATGCATAAACTGTTTTTTAGCACTTTTTTGGGGTACTAATGATGTGCAATACAAGACTCTTAATGTCTATTTAGCCTCTCTTGCTCAAGCCTACCTCACCTTCACGTGGTTGACCCTGTTCTTCCCAGCAATCCAGTTGAAGGTTGGGGTCTCAACCCCCAGCGGGAAACTGCATGGGACAACAAACGAGGTAAAGGTGAAGGGATAAGCTCACTCTCCCTTTCAAGAGATTCTGAAGTCAGAAAAACTAGGTCAGAGGGCGGATCAAAAACCACAGTTTTACGCAACCCCATACTATATAGAAGAGAACACAAGAAGAAGCTCTTTTCCACCTATGTGATAAAAAAACACTTAAGAAATCTGGCTAAGTGACAGTGAAAAACTGGCCAAGCAGGTCTATGAGGCCTCTGAGGTGAATATGACTTTTCTAGTGTGAATCCAGGGCTCAATGGTGCAGAAACTTAAAACCACTTCATTAGCCATAACCCCCCCACCACTTAGCTCCTTGAGTCCCAGGGGGTTTAGCATCACAGGCCCAGGGGGTAGTAAAAAGTCATAAAATCGGCGCATCGTGCGTTCATTAGGCTTCTAGGTAGGAACATGTGAACGTATGATGCATTCCTTGGGACTCAAAGAGTTAAAACAGCTCCCTAAACTTTCCAAACAGCAATCACTTTTTAACTCGCAAATCAAATCTATGTGTAGACACTCAAAAATGGTAACAATAAATGGGTTAAAACATGTCAGAGTGGGGAACAACATGATACGTACATGAAGCGAAACAAGAGAAAGTGAGTAATATGGTACCAAAGCTTACAAGGAACCTGTTCCATAAACGTAACCTCTTTCTCAGTGAGTTGTGCCTCCTTGTTAAGTGGAACCTCAGTGTGTAGAGCCTCAGTGTGTCAAACCTTTTTGTTGAGTGGAACCTCAGTGTCAAACCTTCTGAGTGAGTCAAGCCTCATAGATGAGAGGAACCTCCTCAGTTAGTGGCATCCTCAATGTGTCGAGCCCCAGTGTGTCAAACCTTTTTGTTGAGTGGAACCTCAGTGTCATACCTCCTGAGTGAGTCAAACCTCCTGAGTGAGTCAAACCTCCTAGATGAGAAGAACCTCCTCCGTTAGTGGCATCCTCAATGAGTTGATTTCAGCATGCTTGACAGAAGGGAATATTCTCTGGGCAGAGATTCATCCTCCTTGGTGATGCCGGATACAGAGTTGGCTTCCATGGCGTCACTCTCGATGTCGCAGTGGACGTCTTGGGTATACTTTGTTTTAGCTGTCGAAGACTCCACCATGGCACTAGTCTCGATAGGAAGACAGCTGTCAGTGCTAGTACACGCAGCACTGGATGACAGCACTTTGGATTTCCTGTCCATCAGCAGCTCTTCCCGCTTGTGCTTTAGGTTTGTGGACAGAGCAGACGACGATCCTCTGATAATACTGGGGAGGTTTTCAGCCAGTGAAGTCAACAATGACGACGAGGGTGATGAGTGGGCGACAGAGTGGGAATCGATCCCAACTGAGTCAATGAGGAAGTTTGGCAAGTTCATAGCGGGCAGTGAGTTGGATTTCTTTATATCAATAATATCATTTTTCTGAGACAGTAGACTGTCACTAAGCTTAGCACACTTACTGGGAGATGAGGAAAGGGATGGATCATGAACAGTAGTTACCTTTGATTTGGTTGCCTTTTTAGGAGACTGTCTACCTTCTTCCTGGTCGCCTTCATCTCGCCTGACTGAACTCGAGACAGGACAATCTGTACGGTCTCGAGTATTACAACTGCTACTGCTGGCCGACCTAAACTCCCCGCACACCGAGTTCTCGGTTGATGAGTTGGCTTCCAGAACAACTGTCGCTGAATCACAGACAGGGTTACTTTTCTTTAAATTGGCCTGCGCAATCCGCAAAAGATCCGTCTCATTTCTTGCCACCCATCTCAGCTTGCCTACCGACATAATTTCAATTTCTTTGTCTCCAAAGAGCAGCAGGTTCTTCTCATATTTTGGCTTGGAAGTGACAGCCTCAGGGGATTTAGACAGATCTTGATATGTATCCTTGGATGCCTTTTCTGAATCCTTTCTGTTAAGGTCAACTTGTCCTTTGATGCCATTTGCAGTGTCCTTTTCATGCAGGTTTCTGATGCTAGCTTTGGTTTTGCTGTGACTACCCCGGCTGCTCTTTCTGGTGACATCTCTGATATGCTGACTACAATGACCAGTTTGAGAAGGAGCTGATGCTTGGGTACCAGGTGATTCCTTGTTAATGACATCCTTAACCGCAGCACATCTTTCTGATGCGAGTTTGTCGCAGGTTTCTGATCTCAGCTTGTCTTTGTTTGGCGATGATAAGTCTAGTGGGGTTGGGAGGCTGAAGTTTGTGGCTGTAGGTGCTCCCACGGCGACTGACCCTGCTCCTCCCCAGACTGGAGGCAAAGGGAAATAACCCATCATGAATGGCTGTGTGGCAGTTAAGTGGGTTTGGGCAAACCGTGGGTTGGTGGCCAAGATGGATGCTGTAGCTGCAGAGAGGCCTCGATCTGGGAGGTTGTAATCATACACTGCAGGCAGCACCGGAGCATAAGGCAGCTGGAAAAGGGAGGCATTTGGTGGGACTACTGGGGAGGGACAAGAAGTCGAGGCAAAACTTGCCAGAGGACTGCTCAATGCCTTGCTGCCTGGATGATTCCGAGTCGGATTGGTTGCAGTGGGACTGCTGCTAGTTTCTCTGACCCCACTTGTGGATTTCCTGGATCTTCTCCGAGTGGGTGTGTGATGTACTGTCCCCGACCCAGGTACTGAAGCCAATGTTGCTGCCGCTGGAGTATTTGACGAACTGGTGACAAGTTGAGGAGGACAGTGCTGATCAACCTGGGCAGCAGACAGAATAGCTCCCCCTGTTGCCGATACTGTAGCAGCAACCTCATTAGAAGGATAATATGACCCAGGAAGCGCAAACCAGGAAGTCTTGTTGACAGAAAGTGGGCTGGACTTGGATCTGCCAGCTATCAACTTGGCATCCTGTGACTGGAGACTTCCTTCAGTCATAACCGGCTTCGACAACTTATTCCACAGCACCGATGATGATAATGAAGGTGACAAAGGCGACGATGCAGACAGCTCACTCAGAAGAGCAGCCCCTTGAGACAAATTTGATATGACTTCATTTAGACTAGGCCTTGAGTTCTCTGCCTTGTGCTTCCTCTGACTCTCATTAACAGCAAGAGTCCTGCTTCTCTTGGTGTCCATCTCAGAACTTTGACTAGCAATATTTTCTACTCCTCCTCCTCTATCGTCTATGGATATAATTTCTCGTTTTCCAACAGTTAGCACCAAGACTTCATTGTCCTCAACCTCACTGCTGCATTTAGTGTTGCCACTGGGGAACTTCGAATCCTGCGTCTCCTGCTTGACAGCCACCACCAACTCACACTCATGGACTAGAGCACCATCACAACCAGCTGAAGTCATACAAGGAGTGCTAGCCCCTGACAACACGGACTCATTCTCACGCTCTTCTTTGACAAGTGATGAGGAAGCAACCGTCACAACATGACTAGATTCTGGAGCTTTCATCCTCGACTGGCAGTCAGATGGAGCCGGACTGCCCTCGACACTAGACGACTTCTCCAGACGAACACCTCCAGCTCCTTCTGGAGCATCATCCACTGATTCTGGCTTCAGCTGTGTGTCTAGTTTAGCATTGTGTGCGTCTGCAGAAGGAGATAATGAAGCTGCGTGGAAGCTGGACAGATCCGAGGACACGTGAGGGATAGCTGCAATATACCTCTGCATCGCCTCAGCATCCAAGCCCAGCTCGTCCATCTGTGGGTGGACAATGAGAGACTCATCAGCCAAAGCTTACCTTTCAATTTTTCTTGCCTTACATTTCACATGACCTTTCTTACATTTTATGTTGCCAGGAAGCTGCCCAGTTAGCTCAGTCGCTAGAGAATCACACTATTATTCTGAGCGTCAAGGGATCAACTCCCTTATTAGACAAATTTCTATATGAAGGACAGTAAAAAAAAAAAAAAACTACCTCCTAATCTATTCATGTAAATACTTTATCCTGTGCATTTTGTATATTTAGAAGGACTCCAAACACTCTTCTGCAATGTATAGCATTACCAATCTTGTATTTTTCTTTCTTTTTTTAAACCATCCCTTGTACAGTTCAGGCATTTTTAATTTACTGCTTGCACTAACAGTGAGCTTCAATTCTGGTGAGGGACTGTTAGAGTTGGCACATCAGACAGCTGCCTTGTGCATTTACTTTATGTATGACAACTGGAAAGATCAGTGGAAAAAGGAGTAGAGGCAGACTAAGAGAGATGATGCTGGATGGGCTGAAACGACGACATGGAGGGATATCATCAAGAGAGCTGTTCCAGGCAACCAGGGATCGTGATCTGTAGAGACGCATGAGCCCTTACGCCAGTCGGCAGGGCACATGATGATGATGTGAGCTTCGAGTATTTGCTAGGACTGACACATTTTTTTTTTTTTTTTTGCCCTCTTAGTTTTCAAACGGGACAGTGAAGGACATTCTGAGTGATTACCACTGGCACAGCGATGGAGCACTTACCGGACGACCTATCTGCAGCAATGCTACATCCCGACTACTGACCATTTCATGATTTCCATTTTCTGAATTCCAGTTTGCCTTCTCTTACATTTCATGTTCCCTTCTCATATATTTCAAGTTTCCGTCTCTTAAGTTTCATGTTTCCTTATCTTACACTCTATGCCCGTCATTTATTTCTTGAAAACAAAGAAAACAAAACTGAGGAAGCCGAAACAGTTGCAATGGAGTGGTCTCTTCTTCTATGTGTTCACTGGTTGTAAACTCTGGAGGAAAGTTCTGGTTGTTCATCCACTTCCGGACTAATCTGAGTTCTGCATGCACATTCGTTTTACAGATCTGGCTTACTTCTATGCAGACTGTTGGTTCCACACCTTACAGGTAGATGTATCCTGACTTCAAAGAAAATACCCCTAACTTGTTGGCTTTTACAACATTTTTGTCAAAGCAGAAGAGGGGACAGTGGGTGTATTCTTATTTTCTCTCTCACAATGGGACCTTGGAACCCAAAAGGGGAGAAAGGATGGGTATGAGAAGCGACACCTCAGAGGATGATGATGAAGAGGAGGAGGAGGAGGAGGCATGTTGTAACAGGTGAAAAACTAAGTGTTTAGTGAAATTAGATGTGCAGGTTTGCAACAAGCAGATATCACAGATGGATGCAAACCACAACACAATGTATCAACACCCTGGCAAGAATAGAGAAGAAGAAGAAAAAAAAAGGAAAAAGAAGGAAGAGGGAGGGGTGAAGGAGGGGAGATGAGAAGAAAGAAGAAGAAGAAGAAGAAGAAGAAGAAGAAGAAGAAGAAGAAGAAGATATGGAAAAGGAAGAAAAAGAAGAAGAAGAAGAAGGAGAAGAAGAAGAAGAAGAAGAAGAAGAAGAAGAAGAAGAAGAAGAAGAAGAAGAAGAAGAAGAAATAGAAATAGAAAAAGAAGAAGAAGAAGAAATAGAAAAAGAAGAAGAAGAAGAAACAGAAAAAGAAGAAGAAGAAGAAGAAGAAACAGATAAAAAAGAAGAAGAAGAAGAAAAGAAGAAGAAGAAGAAAAAGAAGAAGAAGAAGCAGAAGAAACTGAGTCACAAGCTAATATAAAAAGGTGGCTCCTAAAAAGCAAACAATTTTTTTTTTAAAAACCAACAACGAAATTATACAACTGGCCACTCTACCTCATCTCCATCCGCGACCAGGTCGTAACCTCTGCGATGGGTCAAAGTTTTGTCTCGGATGATTCGGTTAATGGATGAGATACTAGGGATGTTTTTCTCAGAGCATACGTTATCTTGCAGTAGTCTGAAATACACACTTTTGGGTGAAGGCAAAAATAAACATACACATTTGTGTACACAGAAAAATATATGTATGTGTGAGTGAATAAAAAACATAAATGTGTTTGTATGAAAACAATAAAAATAATTTGTTACTGCGATGCCAAACACTCCCCCTACAAACTCATCTGGGTACAGATTAAAAAAAAAAAAACATACATGTGTTTGTGTGAACAAAAACAAAACAAAACAACAACAAAAATGTGTTACTGCGATAACAAACACTCCCCCCACAAACACACATCTGAGTATAGAAAAAAATAAATTCACATACGTTTTTGTGTGAAAAAAAAATGTGTTACTGTGATGACAAACACTCCCCCCACAAATATACATCTGGGTACAGAAAAAAAAACAACACATACATGTGTTTGTGTATAGGGAAAACATACACTTGTTTGTGCAAACAACACAATCAGGTGCCATCTCCACACTGAAGGTCAGCTGCAACGGATCTCCAACACACTCTGTCTCTTGTCTTGGGTCTACACTATCTCAGATTGCTGTCTGTCCATATCCTGTTGTTGTTCTCCCACTTGTATCTCTGCCTACCTCTTGCTCTTTTGCCCTCAACCTTTCCCTCCAGTATGGTTTTTTTACAAGTGTTCTATGTCTTTTAATGAGGCTAAAGTGTTTCAACTGTCTCTTTTTTTATTTCATTTAGTAAATCTCTGTCATCTTGATATTGTTCTCCCACTTGTAACGCTGCCTACCTCTTGCCCTCAACCTTTTCCTCCAGTATGGTTTTTCAAAAGTGTTTTATGTCTTTTAATGTAGCTAAAGTATTTCAAGCTGTCTCTTTTTTCCCCATTTAATTCAGTAAATCTCTTTTCATTTATAGCCTTTCCAGAAATTATGTGAGGAAAAAAAAATCATACAAAAAGAAAGAAAAACCTGAGACTCACTTCTGTCGAATTTCCCAGGCAAACATCTGAGGGTTGTCCAGCTTGTACTGCCGGACCATACTGACCACATCCGGGGTGGTCACCTTGGGTTTGCTGCCACCAATCTGCCCGGGGTTGATGCTTCCAGTCTTGCGGTACCTGGGGATGTAAGTCATTAGTTAACCGGCTTACATTTGTTATTTAATTGAGTAGCAAAGTTTCGTGGCTGTTTTCAAAATAAATGTATTACAAGTTATAAACCTGTACGCCGATAAACTGTTCAAGTGCCGTACCAAGTAATTTCTTACTCTAGGGAGAAACAAAGGCCACCGGCAACGACAGGCCGAAAACGCCACCAACAAAATCAACTGTTGAAACTTCTAAATTTGAGAACACGTAGTTGACAGGCAACATCAATACGTTTATTTGAGAAATTATGTTACGATGACTGTACTTTACGATGGCAGGATAAGTCCTTTCCTCCAACATGGAGCTCAGAACATTTGCTCTCCCGCGAACTGCAGCATCAGGAACATATCAATACAAGCCTCTGCCATTCATACATTTCTTGTAACTGTCTTCCGTCCAATTCTTCTGTTGGCAAGTGACGTAGTGTCTCTCGTCATATCTCATGGTCGGCCCTAGCCTGAATCTTCGGATTGCTCACAACAAAAGCCATTCATAAAAAAGAACAAAGGTCAATTTGAAGCATGATTTTCTTGTACTGCACAAAAGACATCCCGGAAGCCAGCCTCTCTTGCACCATGCAGGAGAATTTATCAGAAATAAGAGTTTACCTTATAAGCTATAGGATCTATTTAAAAAAAATACTTTCTTGAATATTATGTTAGAGGCTCTGTTTATATTTAACATTGCCCGGCTCTCTAGCTTAGTTGGCTAAACCGGATTGCGCGGAGACCGGATGACGAACTCCTTGTGGTCCGGGTTCAATCCTGGGGGTAGGCAGGAAAGCCACATTTTCTCCAAGATTTACAGTATTTACAATGGAATCAAGGCCGAAAGGTTGCGATATCCATAATACCGAGCCTAAGGGTTAACAACTCATGGCTTCTGGATACTAAAACAAACAAACAATATTTAACATTTAAAAAAAAATTCTTGTATTAAAAAAAGTAAAAAGTGAAGCCGGAGTGTGAACCAGCGTCATTGCACATGGTTATAAACCATAAGTGCTTTGCCACCAGTACGTACAGCTAATAAGAAACTGTCCGCCTTGTCGCCGTCCGCACGCAACTTCGTAGCTACAGCGACGTTACTCCATTTACCCCCAGAGTGTTAACTCAGGTACCCATTTCCTAGAGGCTGGGTGAACCCCGGGAACTGCCAGGTTTCAAAAACCGGCCGTGGGCTGCAGCGTACCTGGATTTGAGTCTCCTATCGACTGCGCTAACGCTTCCCCTTTCCTGTATCATGTTGCAGGACAGGGCTATTAAACTAGCAGCCCGTGGCCCACATTTGGCCCACCAATCTTAAGCTAGTGGCCCGCGGACCACTGCCAGCTGTACTGTGTAAATGACCTTTCTATGCTGGGGCTTGATTCTCTGGTTCATGATCCTTAATTTTCAACATTTTGGCCCCAAATCTTTCTCATTCAGTAGGTTCGATTTTTAACCCCCCAAAAAAAGTTTCTTGCAGGATTATGCTGACCGATTACGCTGAAGGATTACGCTGAAGGATTACGCTGAAGGATTACGCTGAAGGATTACGCTGAAGGATTACGCTAAAGGATTATGCTGAAGGATTACGCTGAAGGATTACGCTGAAGGATTACACTGAAGGATTACGCTGAAGGATTACGCTGAAGGATTACGCTGAAGGATTACGCTGAAGGATTACGCTAAAGGATTACGCTGAAGGATTACGCTGAAGGATTACACTGAAGGATTACGCTGAAGGATTACGCTGAAGGATTACGCTGAAGGATTACGCTGAAGGATTACGCTGAAGGATTACACTGAAGGATTACGCTGAAGGATTGCGCTGAAGGACTACACTGAAGGATTACGCTGAAGGATTATGCTGAGGATCTCATGTTTTAAAAGGATATTCTTGTATCATGAAGCAGGATCCATCTGATCCTTGAGTCCCAGGGGGTTTAGCATCACAGTCCCAGGGGGTTTAGCATCACAGTCCCAGGGGGTTTAGCATCACAGTCCCAGGGGGTTTAGCATCACAGTCCCAGGGGGTTTAGCATCACAGTCCCAGGGGGTTTAGCATCACAGTCCCAGGGGGTTTAGCATCACAGTCCCAGGGGGTTTAGCATCACAGTCCCAGGGGGTTTAGCATCACAGGCCCAGGGGGTTTAGCATCACAGTCCCAGGGGGTTTAGCATCACAGGCCCAGGGGGTTTAGCATCACAGTCCTAGGGGGTTTAGCATCACAGTCCTAGGGGGTTTAGCATCACAGTCCCAGGGGGTTTAGCATCACAGTCCTAGGGGGTTTAGCATCACAGTCCTAGGGGGTCTAGCATCACAGTCCCAGGGGGTCTAGCATCACAGGCCTAGGGGGTCTAGCATCACAGTCCCAGGGGGTTTAGCATCACAGTCCCAGGGGGTCTAGCATCACAGTCCCAGGGGGTCTAGCATCACAGGCCTAGGGGGTAGTAAAAAGAGATGTAAAATGGGCGCATCTTGCGTTCATTGAGCTTCTAGGTAGGAATATATGAACGTATGATGCGTTCCTTGGGACTCAAAGAGTTAATAAAACCAAAATAAGACTTTCTTGTGTTATGCAATAGGATCTGTTTAAAAAAAAAAAAAAATACAAATAAGCCAGATTTGTAAAATGGATGAGCACAGGAAACTCAAGTTCTGGAACAAGACCACAGTCCAGAAGTGGATGAACAACCAGAATTTTCCAACTGATGAACGCAAAGAAGAAGAAAAAGGAAGAAGGAAGAGGGAGGAGGAAGCAGGAAGGAGGAGGAGGAATAAGAATAAGAAGAAGAAGAAGAAGAAGGAAGGAGGAAGAGGGAGAGGAAGGAGGAGGAGGAAGAAGAAGAAGAAGAAGAAGAAGAAGAAGAAGAAGAAGAAGAAGCAGAAGAAGAAGAAGAAGAAGAAGAAGAAGAAGAAGAAGAAGAAGAAGAAGAAGAAGAACGAACGAACAAACAAACAAACTTTATTTTCAAAGGGTTAAGACTAATATTGTGCCCTTCTTCTCTGATCCTTTCATACAATTCTTCATTTGTACCCCATTTCATAGTTAATAATAACAATAATATTAATAAAATTATAATAATAATAATAATAAAAAGAGCAAAAAGAAAAAGAAGAAGAAGAAGAAGAAGAAGAAGAAGAAGAAGAAGAAGAAGAAGAAGAAGAAGAAGAAGAAGAAGAAGAAGAAGAAGAAGAAGAAGAAGAAGACACAAACATGTCAGACAAACCCTGACAAGTGACAGACAGAACATACACAAGACGTAACAAACACAGAAATAACACAAGACAAATTTAAACAACAGTTCAAAGAAACAAAATACCACGACAAAATATAAGACACAAAAAAATCAGGTTAAAAACCAAGAAGTCAAAACAGAAATTCCCAGAAAGAAAATATGCAGAATAAAAGGGGGAAAAAATACATACCCGAGAAAAGAAGAAGAAAAAGCACAAACAAACCTGTTAAGGATCTTGCTGACACAGCCGTGCGATACCTGCAGCTGACGACTGATCTCACATGGCCTGATGCCCTGCAGCGCCAGCTGCAGGATCTGAACCCTCAAGTGGTCGGGCAGGGGTCGCCCGTTGGTAAACTCACGGCCATACTGGTTAATGTTCCGACCACCTGCAAACACAGATCTGATTAGTCCGACATCATGCAAATGTAACATTGACATAACCATGATGTTTAGCATCAATACTTCTTCTTTGTCGTGTTCACCAGCTGTGAATTTCAGCGTAAAGTCCTGGTTGTTTGCCTATTTAGACTTTGGCTTTTTATCAGGACCTGAGTTTTGCATGTTCATCCATTTTAGTTGATTATTTATGTGCCATTCTTGTATCATGCCTCTCGGGCAGATTTACTCATCTTCGAGGGAAGACAGATCCTATCTACTCAAGCTTCGAGGAAAGACATAGATCCTATCTACTCCAGCTTCGAGGGAAGACATAGATCCTATCTACTCCAGCTTTGAGGGAAGACATAGACCCTATCTACTCCAGCTTTGAGGGAAGACATAGACCCTATCTACTCCAGCTTCGGGGAAGACATAGATCCTATCTACTCCAGGTTTGAGGGAAGACACAGATCCTATCCACTCCAGCTTTAAGAGAAGACATAGACCCTATCTACTCCAGCTTCAAGGGAAGGCACAGATCCTATCTATTCCAGCTTCGAGGGAAGACACAGATCCTACTCCAGCTTCAAGGAAAGACACAGACCCTATCTACTCCAGCTTCGAGGGAAGACATAGATCCTATCTACTCCAGCTTCGAGGGAAGACACAGACCCTATCTACTCCAGCTTCGAGGGAAGACATAGACCCTATAGCATTTCTACTCAAGGTAGTCGCCGTGATGCAGCGAATAGATGGTCGCCTGTGGATCAAAAGGTCTTGGGTTTGGGTTCTGATGGAGCCAGACTTTTTTTTTAAAAAGACCTCGACTCCCACGTCAACCATGCTTTCAGTGGGTACCAGGTAAAGTCCTGGAAAGTAAAGGTGGCCACACCACATCACCCACTAAGTGCCGATTGGTCTATAAAATACAGGTCTAGCCCTAAATGCCCAATAGACCTATGGGCGTGGAAAAGGGTCTTCTACTGTTTGTTTTTTTAACTTATTTTTATTTCAGCTCAAAAGTACCTAGACAAGTTTTTACAAACAAGTAAAGGACCCACAACTTCACAACTTAAGGGGTACTGTACATATAGGGCACTCGTCGGTGGGTGACGAGGTCTGCATCATGCATAAAAGCCCCTTAAACATATTATATATCACAGATCTGCCAATCGGATACTGAGTGCATGGTATGACACTGTGAGCTGCAAAGTTAGTTTGGAATGCTTTTCGACTGTGCCCAATGTGGTTTGTGTTGTGAACCACAGTTTTATCAACTCTGCTGCTACAGAACTGGGCCATAGAACTGGTGGTGACTCATGCGCTACTGCATGTGCAACTGCCAACTTTTGGTACAAGCAGGCTTCAAATGAAAACCTTTAAAGTGTGATAGGAACAACAGTAACTCTGTCACTGTCTTCTAACCTGTCAATACCATTAAGAATGTCAAGAGTGTTAAGCATGTGACATCACAGTGCAGACAAACACAGTGATACCATAATGGCAGTTTTAGCATGGCTGCCCCACTTTTAACATGAACCAAAGAGGAGCAGCATTCTGCCATTTTTGTTTAACCAGTAAAGGGGTGAAACCAACAGAGATTCATTGGCGAACAACGATCCAGTATGGTTCTGAATGCCTATCCCGTCTAGCAAGTGAAAGAGAGGAACTGGAAATTACAAGACGGCGTGACTTTTGTGATAGACTATTTACGAACAGGCCAGACACAGCGAGTAGTGCTCCCAGAGCAGTGGTTTTCAATCTGTGAGTAGCAACCCTTTTGTGGGTGGAACGACCCTTTCACAGGGGTCACCTAAGACCATCGGAAAACATATTTCCATTGAAGTTATGAAGTAGAGACAACAATAATTTTACGGATGGGGGTGGCCGCAACATGAGGAACTGTATTAAAGGGCCACTGCCTTAGAAAGTTTGAGAACCACTTTCCTAGAGTCAACTGCAGCCATTCTGAAAACCTTCCGAACCTTGTAGCTTCACAAACTTGTATCCAGATACATTGGTATTCCGAGCATCCACTGTATCACTATATGCACATACCATGCTTTTGTAGACAGAATACCATTGCTTTGTGAAAGATGAGTGTTGGCAAGGGACGAATTAAGTCAGGCCTGCGTGCCTAATTGTGGACTCTTTAGAAATAAACTGCTAGTTCTTTTTTCTTCATCAGGTTTTACGGCTGTAAACTTGGCAGAAAGTTCTGGTCGTTCATCCTCCTTTGCACTTCAGACTTGTTCCAGAACCTGAGTGTCGCGTGCAAATCCATTTTACGGATCTGACCTATTTGTATGCAGACTGTTGGTTCATTGCCTCTCAGTCACATGTACTCAGACTTCAAAGGAAGCCCCCAATTAGTCAACTCTTAGGACATGCTTGTTGGGTATGCAGTGGGTCTATTCTTGTTCCCTCCACAATGGGGGTCACAGAACCCACAGAGGGAATTGCTAGTTCAAAATCACATCTTGCGAAAGCAAACACTAATACATACAATGTGACAGACAACAACCAACTGAGCCCTTACTACCGGAGTGTCGGGTTCGAGTCTTCCCGTCTTTCTTGGCCGAATCGGACCCCTCGTCATCCATATAGCTCCCATCATCCAAGTCAAAGCTGTCATCACTCCCATCCTCGCCCATCCCTCCGCCTCCTCCGCTCATACCTCCTGAGGAAGACAAGGCGGCCCCACTGCCAGTGCTGTTCTCCCCATCTTTTCCTTCGGCAGTCTAAAAGAACAAAAGATTTGAGATTTGAGGTTTTGAACATAGGATCAACATCATGGGACACGTGTTTGAGGTTTTGAACATAGGATCAACATCATGGGACACGGGTTTGAGGTTTTGAACATAGGATCAACATCATGGGACACGGGTTTGAGGTTTTGAACAAAGGATCAACATCGTGGGACACGGGTTTGAGGTTTTGAACATAGGATCAACATCATGGTACACAGGTTTGAGGTTATGAACATAGGATCAACATCATGGGACACGGGTTTGAACATAAGATCAACATCATGGGACACGGGTTTGAGGTTTTGAACATAGGATCAACATCATGGTACACAGGTTTGAGGTTATGAACATAGGATCAACATCGTGGCACATGGGTGTAACCCATAAGTGCTCCGTTCTTCTTGTAACTGAAGTTTGTGTCCGAAGAAGCTCAGCACAGTGCACAGGCTCTGTAGCACCGGCGAGGATCCTGAGATACTTTGGGTAGATTTTTAATTCCAAATTTTTATCCGGGCAGCGCCGTGAGGCTACTCTTTTAGATTTCCAACTGAGAAGGGATGTTTTACGTGCGCAACAATGCACACAGCGTCCAATCTCACTGCCCAGAGACCAGAGAAAATTACTAGAAGTCCAAGTCCACGTGAAAAATATCCAGGGATTGAACCCGGAACCTCTAGCACTTGAGGCAGACACCTTGCCTCGAGACCACGCAGTCCCAGAAGAAAGATTTATGAAGCTTTAAGAATAATACACCCATCAGTCAAACAAGTACAGGGCAGATACAGAACACCACGACACTGGTCTTCAATTGGGAAACATGAACATCAGTGCTCTCTTCCTTTCCTTGCTGTTCACCAGCTGTAAACTGCAGCGAAAAGTTCTGGTTGTTTGTCCTCGTCTGGACTTTAGTCTTGTTGCAGAACTTTAGTTTTGTGTGCACATCTGTTTTACAGATCTGGTTTATTTGTATGCAGACTGCTGGTTCTACACCTTTTAGGTAGATTCACTCGGACGTTGAAGAAAACTCCCCTAATCACCTAGTATGATATGCTTATTAAGTTAGTAGGTACTACTTCTACTCTTCTTCTTTCGTTTGCTTGAAATATATTATCTATATCTACAATGTTGTCTCTAGTATGAACTTCACCGTCTGCTGTAATTCAATCAGCAACTCATAAAGTATGGCTTCCACCGGTGTTTCTTTTGGCCAAAGTTTTGCCTTGATATGTCATATTTGGGACAGTAATCTGGTAATCTTAGTTTCAGCTTCATAGTTGCTCCGCTCCTGTGATAGCGAAAAACACACAGTATGTTTATCACAGTCCCTTGTGGAAAGATTGACAGACTGCTGTCTCAGCATATCTGGCATACACACGCATTAAAGGCATACGGTAGCCACCAGAAGTGCTAACACCAACAGTCCGACATTAGAAATGCAGTTCATCATCGATGGTAGCAGAAGTCACCAACAGATCAGCAGCTGCACACGGAATTAATTTTAATCACATAAGGGCACCACCAATATTGTGACGACAGGCATTTTCTGAATCTACAATTGACACCACCTTGTTGGTCACAGTTGAAAAACATTCCAAATGAAAATGAAAATTGGGACTGTCATGGAGGACATGATCTGCTGTCTCAGGTGCTAATCCACATGTACACATGGCTGATTCCCCAACAGGTAGGCAGGGAATCTATTCTTTCAAACCCACATGGAGAATGTCTTATTTCAGTGCCTATTTAGTTATTCCCTCTCTCCTTCTCCTGATGAAGCACTCAATAAACTGCCATCTTCTTTTTACTACAACAGCTGATTCAAGCAGTTCCTTCAGCTTCCTGTAACTCACCACCACATTTAAGTCTCTTTGTATCAAACAGTGCACCATATGTCTCTTTGCCATACCAGGGCAGCTGCGTAGTCTCGAGGTAGGACATCCGCCTTGAGTGTTGGAGGTCACAGGTTCAAAACCCGGTGAAAGTTGGGATTTTTTCACGTGGACTTCCAGTAATTTCCCCTGGTCTCTGGGTAGTAAGATTCGATGCCCGTTGCGCACATAAAAAAATCCTTGGCAGTTGGAAATCGAAAAGAGTAGCCTAAGGCTCTGCCCGGGCAAAATTGGGAGTTGAAAATCTACCTAAAGTATTTCAGGATCCTCGGCGTTGCAACAGAGTTCGTGCACTACACTGAGAGCTAGGCTTGAGTCAGAAGTATAAACGAGCACTTATGGGTTCACACCCCTGTGCCGTAATGTTGCTCGGCCGACTAAACTAAACTAAACATCTTTGCTATACCACAGGAGGAAACATGTTGTAACAGGTGACAAACAAGCAGATATCACAGCCTGACTGTAAACCACAACACAATGTGTCAACTCCCTGGTGTGAATGCAGAAAAAGAGGAAGAGGAGGAGAAGCAGAATAAAGGAGCAGGAGGAGGGGAAGAAGGAAAAGGCGGAGAAAAAGAAGAAGCAGATTCTGTTTGCTGTACCTTTGATAAATAGGTGCTATATTAACCCTTTGTTCTATTCTCTTCTAAGTTGTACCCCACCAGGACATCCCACAAACGATAAACACCCGGTGACACAAAGTGCCACCATGCAGAGGTCCCAGAATCCCCTTTCAGCTGTTAGGCCATATTTATGGCCCGGTTATATTCATGGCCCCCAGCAAAAGCCTGGGTGGGGCTTCTAATAATGATAAATTGCATCCCACACAGGGACGATAAGTATAACTCTTTGTACTTGAATTATTCATTTAACTACTACTGCCCTACAGATTCTCTATTGAACTCAATCAGACCAAAGTATCTACTGTTTTGAAGCTTAAATATTGACAGTATTATGGGTTAAAATAAGAAGTGCGTGGGACTGAATGAGTTACTGTTTACAAATGTCCTCATGCATTTGTTTTCAAATGCAGTTAACCTGTGCTCCGTATCTAAAGTGGCCCTTCAACGTTCATCTGAATTTGTTAAAACTGGGATAAAAATTATGAGTGAAATAATTTATTAATTCATACAGTTGACTGCTATGTTCCAAACATACTGGTGTTAGCTTTCCTTTGGAGAAAACAAGGAGATCCAGGCAAAGGATCACACTGAATGGGCTACAAATGGTCTTTGCGGCCTTGACTTTGTGCCATAGAAGCCTGTTATTACTTGCAATCTTACTCTTTTCTGCATTCTGCAGTGTTGCTTACGTTATAATTAACTCTCCTTTCACCTTCGCCATTAATGGGCTCTCAGCATGCTGTGCTGTGGTTTACAGCTAGGCTGCGATATCTGCACTTCTAAGTGCAACAAATCTGATTTCAGCAAATCCCTATTAAGTCACATTTAACAACATGTTTGTCAGCGGGCAGTAGATGTATTGTTTGATCCCCTAAAATGGAGCCTTTTAATTCACAAAGAGACTTCACATACAATCTTATATTGGAATTTTCTAATTGTGTCCTACAGTTTATGTTGTAAAGCTTCACAGAGAGGAGTTAGATATAGTTTCCTGTCTTGTGTCCTACAGTTTATGTTGTAAAGCATCACAGAGAAGAGTTAGATATAGTTTCCTGTCTTGTGTCCTACAGTTTATGTTGTAAAGCGTCACAGAGAGGAGATAGATAGTTTCCTGTCTTGTGTCCTACAGTTTATGTTGTAAAGCATCACAGAGAAGAGTTAGATATAGTTTCCTGTCTTGTGTCCTACAGTTTATGTTGTAAAGCGTCACAGAGAGGAGATAGATAGTTTCCTGTCTTGTGTCCTACAGTTTATGTTGTAAAGCATCACAGAGAAGAGTTAGATATAGTTTCCTGTCTTGTGTCCTACAGTTTATGTTGTAAAGCGTCACAGAGAAGAGTTAGATGAAGTTTCCTGTCTTGTGTCCTACAGTTTATGTTGTAAAGCGTCACAGAGAGAAGATATAGTTTCCTGTCTTGTGTCCTACAATTTATGCTGTAAAGTGTCACAGAGAGAAGTTAGATATAGTTTCCTGTCTTGTGTCCTACAGTTTATGCTGTAAAGTGTCACAGAGAGAAGATATAGTTTCCTGTCTTGTGTCCTACAGTTTATGTTGTAAAGCGTCACAGAGAGAAGTTAGATGTAGTTTACTGTCTTTTACTAGTTGTGTACTTGTGCTAATGGTATAATATATGTTTCTGTAATGTTTCTTTTACTTCATCCACCGCCCGTCTCTCTAGCGTAGTTGGCTAAACCGGACTGCACGGTGAGCAGGTGATGAACTCCTTGTGGTCCGGGTTCACTCCCAAGGGTGGGCAGAAAAGCCACATTTCTCCCAGATTTACGGTATTTAAAATGGAATCAAGGCCAAAAGGTTGCGATATCCATAATACCGAGCCTAAGGGTTAACAACTCATGGCTTCTGGATAGTAAAACAAACAAACTTCATCCATCCACTGACCTCCTGCCTTGCAGTCTGCTGCTCTTATGTAGTATGCTCTGGCTATGGCTGATTTTGTTAAATTCTGACTAGAGGACAAAACCAACTGATTCTCTGTTGTTCAATGAAATCATTTACCACTACTGTTTGAACAAAGAAGACACAAATAACAGACTGCACAATTTATTGCCTGGCATATTTCGCTGTATCTGGTCAGGTGCATACTACAGTAACAATTAATTAAATGTAGCAAATAGGTGAATCCTAGAAACTGAAACACAAATTTGATTACATTCATGAACTGTTTGTTTCACCAAGGTAACTGTAAGGTAACGACCATTTCTTTCTGCCTACAAAGTTCTGGTTTCAACCTGCTGATAGCTGACGCTTCCGCATGGTACCACGACTGTGTCTACCACTATCTTTAGTTCCTCATCTCTGTGTCCCTTACTGTTTTCCTGCCACATTTCTCAATACATATCATTTCAAATGTTGTAGTTTTGCATTTAAGTATTTCTAGGAATAGCTTTCACTGATGCATGACACCCTGACAGAAAACAACCCCACTAACTTACCTGTTGCGATATATGTCCTGTGGAA